AAACGAAAAAGTGCTCCATTGAGTTTCCAATTAGTTCTGAAAATATGAAGTCTTAGTGAGTTTTAGTTTTTATTGCACAGTATTTCTACAGAAAGTCCAAAATGTGGGAAGAGATACCCTTAACAGACACGAAGCTATGTGGAGCAGAGTTTTCTGATCAAAATGAGATATCTCGTAGGTTTGTATAACTTCGCCTTGCAGAGTTATACTAGTTTTGCTACAGGCGCTGAATTATTATTAATGATGTAATGACGTCATTGCTTAGAATATGGTTTTGGGGCAACAAAATTGTATCTCCTCCTAGACTATTCATCGTAAAACCTTCATTCTTTTGTTATTTTGAAGCTAAGACATTTATCTAAATTTTGTCCGTAGCGATTTTTGAATTTTGTTTTCTCTGCAGACAAAAGTGTGAAAATAACGCTAAACTCAGAGGGTATTTTCTAGAGTTCAAACTTAAAATACGTGTAGGGAATGAACGGAACCGAAATTCAGAAATCGCTACGGACAAACTTTAGATTTAGATGTCTACTGTTATTTGAGACCGGATCCGCAGCTTTCTGCATCTTTCAACAAAAAGAGCCTCATTTTGCCTGTTGGCATGCAATAACTCGGTAGCCGCTTCAACGTCTCGATCTCGAATTTTTAGCATAAGCTAGTTAGACAGTAAGCATTAGTCACTGTAAGCGCCAGCAAAAAGTGGATGTAAGATAAAAAAACTTTCCTGAGGGAGGGGGGCCATTAACCACTTAAATTTGAGACTAAGTGATTAAACTCGAGTTTTAGTCTGATGAAGGGCTAACACCTTTTTTAGTTAAATCCTGTATGCAAGAATAGCTGAAATTTGATCAATATAAAATTACTTGACTTATAATCATCACAAGAGCTGTAAATGTTCAAAGGAAGAGCTACAAATGACATTTCAAGTAAAGCGTCCAACCTCACGCCATTTAACGCAATTTTTATTGTTGTTTTTTTTATTGCATTAAAAAAATCCCAGAGCAACGATTTATATTAGGTATAATCATCTCATAAAATATTACCTTTTTGATTTTATATGAACAAAACATATGCCATCTTTTTAACGAAAAACGGGGTATTTCAATGATTTCTAGAACTACTCATTGTTACCTACCTTCTTCGTCATATTATTTATTTATTTGACTGCTTGATCTCGCTCTCTGTTTGTATCTTCACAAGAATTTTTCAATATTTCAATATTTTGTTGAGCATCTGAATTTGCCTGAAGTTCGATACTACAAGAAAAGTAGATCATTCGTTGATCTTTTACTTATCAAAATTTACTATGATGAGTGTGCATTTGATAGTAATAGATAGAGAATATGTTCTCTAGATTGAAAAAAAAATGCTCACTTTAATTCTTTTCGTAATTGAATTAAACTCAACTCTTGTTCATCGAGTCTATTATGCATCAAAACTTCTGCTCGATGAAAATCATCTAATTTTGTTCGCAATTTTTTTGTTTCACTTTTATATAAACGATTTTCTTCATTCGTATTTGTTGATCTTTTCTTGTATTCACGGATGTACATATACAATTTTTCAATAACTGGTTTTAACGCTACTGTCTGTAGACTAATATCTTCATAATGACTACGTAAAACGGTGATAATTTTTATCGTTTGTTCAAATCGTTCTTCAATTAAACGTAATTTAATTAATTGTTCATTTATATCAGAAAATTGATCGTGAAGACGTTGAATTGCTTTTGCCCATTTTTCACTTGTTTCTGATGACTAATTTGAAAAAGGCAGAACAAACTATCATCTGTGTAGGAACAAGAAGATTAACTTAAGATATCTCCTAAACATGTTGTCTGCAAACTTCTTGGCAAAATTTGCATAGAATCTACAATCTGCAATGATCTGTTTCAGATCTGTATTGCAAAAATATTCCTTCATTCAAAAAACTATTTCAGAAAAAGAAAAAATATTCGATCCTAACGAAATTTTCACCGATTGCTATTCCAATCAAAGTACATTCACAGTAAAAGTCGAACTCAAAATGTTGAGTTTTTCCTCAATTATCCTAGATCCAAAGGTTAAAAGGTGTTATCCACAACCCATATTAACTATCAAGCTGAACTCATGCCAAGAAGCGGAGTTCTAAGACTCCTCTAGGATCATGTCGCGCCAAAAACGTTTATCGTAAGTCAGGGCTAATATGCTTAGAAAATAAGGTTCTGGCGTCCATAGTGGAACTTCTTATAACCAAGATCTTGGTAATGCTTGAACCACCGTTTTGTTTCACGCTTTTCCTCACACATAACAGCAAAAAATTGTCATACTGAGAATAACTTGAAAATTTTTCAAGGATGATTTTTCAGGGAAATCAAGGATGAGCCTCTGGTCACATATGATTGTATGTCCAATGGTTATGGCTGTCATATAAGAAAGAAAATGTAAACAAAGTTGTATTACAATACTTTGAAACAATTTGACTCGATTCACTTAATATCGTGAACTTTCTGTTCCCATGGTCTTGAGTGTAAGATTCAAGATCTTGACTTCTTGATCTTTTTTACAAGATCTTGTGACATTCTTAAT